CTGCAATAACTGCTCTTCACAGCATCACTAGTGATATCCAAATTTGAGACTAATGGTGATTTCTCAGTTCTCTTTTATTTGATCTGTCGCAGTATGTCTCACTTTTTTCTCTTTGAAACAGTTTTTGTTTTTTTTCCACTTGTCTTTCTATACATCACACTTAGTTGACTTTCCCCTGTCTTCCATTTTCTTGGTTCCTCTTCATCTTCCCAGTCCCTAAATGTGGGAGTGCCCAAAGGCTATTTTCTTGGACCTATTCAGTTTTTTATTTACATTTTCTTTTTTTGCTAATTGATCTCATCTAGTATTATGCCTTTAAAGATCATTTATATGCTCATGCTTCCTTAATCTAGGATTTCAATTTAACATTTTCTCTGTTTCCCTCCAACCAGATCCTCTTTAATCTTCCTCCATAGCCATTCCATTTTTCCAGTTACATAGGCCTAAAACATTCTTGACCTCTTTGATCCCTCTCTTTCTCTCAAATCCTATATCCAGTTTGTCAGCAAACCTTGCCACTTCTACAACCAAAATAAATTTACTCTCACAGTCCCACCATCCCTGTTAATAAATTGTCATCTTCTTCCCCCTGGTTTACTTTAGGAAATTCCGAAGTGATGAAGTTAGAGGTTTGCCAGGCAAGTAGGAAAAAAGCCAGAGAAGGCAAGGTTATTGAATATGTGTGGGGAGTTAAATTATGATGAACCATGGAATCCAAGCTGAGTTAGGAGGGAGGTAAGAATAGGAAGATAGTCTGCAACTCTTACAATAATAATAATAAGAGTAAAAAGAAAGTACAAAACACTGTGACTTTCATGTGTCTTACATTTTCATTGAATTGTCTTTTACATTGTAGGGTTATTCTAGACCTTTCTACTTGATGACCTGCAAAATCCAGTTCTTTCCCTAATCCTACTAGTTTTGTGACTCTGTTTGCTCTTCCATCTATTTCTACTACCACTTTAGTATAGGCCCTTACTCTCTCTTTTTGAGGTTATTGAAATGGCACCTGATAGGATGCTTCAGTAGAATATGTAGTAAAAGGGAATCTAGGGATATAGGCTCCAATAGTGAGCCCTCTTGGAGCAATGGTTAAGAGCTCAGCTGCTAACAGGAGGGTTAGCAGCTTGAATTCACCTAGCAATTTCATTGCAGAAAGACAAGAAGATCTGCTACTGTAAAGATCACAGCCTAGAAAAGCATACGGGGCAGTTCTACTTGGTTGCAAGGGGTCACTATGAGTTGAAAATTGATCTATGGCACTCAACAACAACATAGTGCTTTTTAGATGAGTGGCACACTTTTGAGCAATGTATGTATATCAACACATTTAATTTTCACAACAATTCTTTGAAATGTTGTTGTTGTTGTTAGGTGCTGTCAGGTCAGTTCTGACTCATAGCAACTTTGTGAACAACAGAACTGAACACTGCCCTGTCCTGTTCCATCCTCTACTTTACCATGCATGTTGTCTCTTTCCAGGGACTGGTCCCTCCTGACAATGTGTTCAGAGTACATGAGAGAAAGTCTCACCATCTACACCTCGGAGGAGCATTCTGGCTATACTTCTTCCAAGATAGTTTTGTTCCTTCTAGTAGTCCATGGTATATTTAATATTCTTTGCCAATACCATAATTTAATTCTTCTTTTGTCTTCCTTACTCATTGTTCAGTTTCATGTATAAGTTGCTGTTGTTAAGTTTTGACTCATAGCAACCCCAGGTACAACAAAATGGAACACTGCCTGGCCCTGCACCATCCTCACAATCATTGCCATGATTTAGCCTAGTGTTGCAGCCACTTTGTCAATCCATCTTGTGAAGGTTTCCACATTTTCATCAACACTTTACTTTATCCAGCATAAAATCCTTCTCCAGGGACTGGTCCTTCTGACAACATGACCAAAGTATCAGATACGAGGTCTGGACCTTCTCACTTCTAAGGAGCATCTGGCTACACTTTCTCCAACATAGATTGGTTTGTTCTTCTGGCAGTCCACAGCACATTCAATATTCTTTGCTAGCATCTCAATTCAAATCCATCACTTCTGCAGTCTTTTATTCATTGTCCAATTCTTACATGAATATGAGGGTACTGAAAAATATTCTGGTCTGGATCAGGACCACCTCAGTCCTCAAAGTGACATCTTTGCTCTTAAACACTTTTTAAAGAGGTCTTTTGCAGATTTGCTCAATCATTACATCATTTGACTTCTTGACTGCTTCACCCATAAGTGTTGATTGTAGGTCCATGTAAAATGAAATTCATTTTAATTATTTTTATTGTGATGTGGGTGAAAATTTATAGAGCAAATTCGTTTTCCATACAGAAGTTCAGACACATCTTGTTTCATGACAGTGACTGCAATTCCCCACAATGTAACAGCTCTCTTCTCACTTCCTCCCTGTAGTTACCTCTTCTCTGTGTCCTTCTTTCCTATGCATTC